TTTGGACTTTTTGCTATAAAAACATGTCCAGTAAAAAAAAAAAAATGTAAAAATCAAATTTAGTAATAAATTTCTGCCAAAATGCATTCTGCGACAAAAAAAAAAAAACCCAATACATGTAAATTAATTGGTTTATGTGAAAGTTATAGCGTTTACAAATGGCGGGAAAGATACTGGGATTTTTAGGTTTTTTTTATACTAATAATGGCGGCGATCATCGACTTATGGCGGCGATCAGGGACTTATGGTGGGACTGCGGCGGACATTCTGACATTGGGGGGTACTGACTTGGGGTCACTGACATCCCCAGTGACACCAATACAGTGATCAGTGCAAAAAAAAAAAAAAAAACACTGACACTGTACTAATGGCACTGGGGAGGAAGGGGTTAAGTTTATTTTTCAGGGAAGGGTTATCTGTGTGAGGGGGAGTGTTTTACTAGGGGGCGGGGGTGTGTACTGCAGGGGACACCGCTGATCGGGAGAGAGAAACTCTTCTGTCCCGATCAGCTTGTCCTGGAGCTGTCAGAGAACTGACAGAAAGCACAGCTACTGCAGCTCTCTCTGTCAGGTATAGCCGCCGATCGCTGGGACATAGCCGGTAACGATCGGCTGTGACCCGGCGACTGACATCCGTGGCTGTGATCGGCGGGACAGGTAGGGCGGCGGCGCGCCTCTTGCGCGCACCCAGTTTACAAAACACACGTTTTAAAACGTGGTTTTGCCTGCCCGTGCCGCTCTGCCGCCATATTTCTACAGTGGCTGGGCGGCATGTGGTTAAGGAAAAACTACTAAAGGAGGGTGTTCCACATTACTAAGCAGAGCACCATTTTCAAGCAATATGGGGAAGAATAAGGAACTCTCTGCTGCCGAAAAGAGTGAAATAGCTCAATGCCTCGGACGAGGTATGAAAACATTAGATATTTCACAAAAACTTAAGCGTGATCATCGCACTATTAAGAGATTTGTGGCTGATTCAGAGCACAGATGGGTTCGTGCAGATAAAGACACATTGAGGAAGATTTCTGCCAGATCCATGCATTGGATCAAGACAGCAGCTGCTAAAATACCATTACATAGCAGCAAACACATATTTGAAGCTGCTGGCGCCTCTGGAGTCCCACGGACATCAAGGTGCAGAGTCCTCCAGAGAGTCTTGCAACTGTGCATAAACCTTCTATTCAGCCACCACTAACCAATGCTCACAAGCAGAAACAGCTGCATTGGGCAGAAAAATACATGAAGACTAATTTTTTCAAACAGTCCTGTTCACTGATGAGTGCCGTGCAACCCTGGATGGTCCAGATGGTCCAGTGGATGGTTGGTGGACGGCCACCCTGTTCCAACAAGGCTGCAACGTCAGCAAGGCAGTGGTGGAGTCATGTTTTTTGGCCGGGATCATGGGAACAGAGTGGGGGGCCCCTTTAGAGCCCCCGAAGGTGTAAAGATGACCTCTGCAAACTATGTGGAGTTTATGACTGACCACTTTCTTCCCTGGTACAGAAGGAAGAAATATGCTTTCCGTAATAAAATCATCTTCATGCATGACAATGCACCATCTCATGCTGCAAAGAATACCTCTGCATCAATGGCTGTTATAGGGATAAAAGGAGAGAAATTCATGGTGTGGCCTCCACCCTCCCCTGACCTCAATCCTATTGAGAACCTTTAGAGCATCCTCAAGCAAAAGATCTATGAGGGTGGGAGGACGTTTACATCCAAACAGCAGCTCTGGGAGGCAATTCTGACATCTTGCAAACAAATTCAAGCAGAAACTGTCCAAAAACTCACAAGTTCAATGGATGCAAGACTTGTGAAGCTGCTATCAAATAAGGGGTCCTATGTTAAAATGTAACGTGACCTGTTAAAATGTTTAAAAAGTTAAAATGTTGTTAAAAGTTTGACTGAAATAGCTTTTGATTTCAGTAAATATGCTGCAAACACAAACAAATGACAATTTTCAGTTCTTTACAACCTATAAAGTGTTTTGAAACTTACTGTGCGTAATAATTTGGGTAAGTGTTTTATGTTTAAAAAAAATACTGTTATCATTAGGAGGTTTGTTCAATAAAATTTGAATTGTACTCTTAATAGTTGATAACATGAGAATTATGCTGACTGTTATTTACATCAATTATTTAGGTAAATGAGAAAAATATAATTTGCATAATAATTTGGAACACGGTGTATGTCTATTTTGATACTAGAAAGTATTTTGCTTGCTTTAGAAACTGCAGCCTGGCATTGCATGCTACTATTAAAGTGGAAATAAAGGCAAAACCTAAATAACGCTAGACCTAATCTCACCCACATTCTAAACCTAATCTATCTGTACTGTAAAGAAAAAAGATACTATACTTGCCTATTTTGCAGCCACTCTGGTCTGGTCCCATGCTGAGCTGTCAGCGGCAGGCTCGGCATGTTGGAGTGTGAAGGAGAGGTAGCCGACGACGGAAGCCCCATAGTAACTCTATGGGTGACGTCACTTCCCAGCCATTGTCAGCTATCTTTGCAGAGAGTGCCGCTACTGACCAGACCAGAGCGGCTGCAGAACAGGCAAGTATAGTGATTTTTAGTTTACAGTGTTAGACAGATTAGGCTTAGAATGTGGCTGATAGTAGGTATGAGTTAGGTTTTGCCTTTACTTTCATTTTAAGTCTATGATCTACCAGAACAACTAGATCATTCTCGACCATTGAGTCCCCCTGTTGTACTATCAGAATGTATTATGCATGCATGCTTTTATCCCTCAATTGCTAACATTTATTAACAGTAAACCTCATTTGTCACATTTAAACAGTGCAAATCTTGGAAGTCACCACTGTTGAATTGTTTAACCTCTTCTTGCCCTGCCTATAGTCAAATGACAGCCGAGCGGAAGCGCTGCCATCTTCCCAGGATCAGACTGCGCAGTGGCAGGTCTGTCACCCGCCAGACACAGCGGATAACAGATTGGTGTACCAGCCGCTGCCTGTACCATGTGATCGCTGCAACTAATCACAGCAGGTCACATGACAATTGTACAACATGAACAGCTTCCTCTCATAGCCATTCATTGTGTATTATTGCATTGATCTCTATGATTGTTCACAGTGATCACATGGTACAGACAGGGCCAATCACAGTCAATTTGTACCATGTGATTAGCTGTGGCCAATAACAGCTAATCACAATAGTACACACTGAATGAATGGATTTCATTAATAAAAAATGGTTGCTTATAACAGTGATTATGGTTATAAGCAATTATGGTGTGTAAAAAAAAAAAATGCTGATTACCTCCCCAGTGTAGTTCAATGTTAAAATGGTAACACTGTATTGTTCTGGTCACAATATAAAATAAAAACTAAAAAAAAAAAAAAATTTTAAAAAAAAAAAAAACTGTCACCAGTGTACCGCCACACCAGTTATATGACAACGCTGTACTGCAATGATGACAGTATTTTCATATATATATATATATATATATATATATATATATATATATATATATATATATATATATATATATATATATATATATATATATATATATACACACACACACACACACACCACACACACCGTTTGCAAACTCTATAACTTTCCTACAGACTAAATAATATACACTGATTTGGATTATTTTCAGCAAAGAAATGTAGCAGAATACATTTTGGCCTAAATTTATGAAAAAATATTATTTGCAAAATTTTATAACAGAAACGAAGAAAAACACTTAATTTTCAACCATTTCTGTCTTTTTTTCATTTATTTAACAAAAAAAAAAACAGTGGTGATAGAATACTAACAAAAGAAAGCTCTATTTGTGTGAAAAAAAAATCATAAAAGTTTAATTTGGGTACAGTGTTGCATGACCGCGACTGCGCTGAAAGCTGAAATTTGGCCTGGGCAGGAGGGGGTTGAAAGTGTCTGGTATTGAAATGGTTAATATGTAATCTTAGGGCTGTCATTCTCATCCTTACCTCTCCACCTACTTATTTACTAACAAAAAAAGCAGTCAGTGCTTGTAGGGACATTTGATCTGTGCACTCACTCCAAAGCAATGTCCTATGAGGTACTGAAGGATAGCTAACAGCCCTGGAACATGAATTTCTGGCAAGGTCAAGGAAAACGTCTTCTATGCATATTCAAATCCCCGTACTGAAGCACTGATCTGTGGATCATTCATATATTGCGTACAGTGTGCCTAGGTTTGGGGCTCATTGTGTTCCTCCTACCTAAGTACTTATTCTTATAGATGATAGATACACATACACATGACTATATACTCATATGCAGGTTCCCCAGTGCTGGCTCTTCGGTTTTTAAAACCGGCTCCCAGTTCTTAATGAAACTTGTCCAGGCCTGGGTTTATGGCAATTTTCTAGGTGGTAAGGCACCCATCTGTTCTGATGAGGTATCTTCATCTTCTGTATCAAAGCAATCATCTACATCAGAGCAATCAAATTGCTATAGATTTCAGTGAGATGGAGTGTTTTTTGGCCTCCCACTTTTGTTGTGATAGCACTAATTTGTGCACTAGCGATGGACTCGGGCCTTGAAGGCAGCTTCTCAGTAGCCAGTTCCCCAACCTTTGTACTCCTAGGTGTTTTGGAGAGCTATGCCATCTTGATTGAACCCTTGCTCATCGATCAGTGGGCCATGGTGTTTCTCTGGTCCACCTGTGCAGAGGAACACTGCCTTGTTGCCAGTCTGCTCAGTAGATGGCCAGATTACTTCCCCTTTTCTTTTTTTAATGGGGTACATTATGAAGTTTATTTTACAAGTTAATTTTTTAAGTAGCCTAGTATTATATACACACTTATAAATTCCACCAGGGAAAGCTTCTAAAATGAGGTTCGCGCATGAAGGAGGTTTCTCATAGATATATAAATCACACAATCAGTGAAAACATTGCTCTTCCCCACATATTCATGTCTTTTGTACACGACACACTATATGGGTCACAAATACTGTATATACAAATGACAAAAATATTTTAATATATATCATACTACTCACAACAAGTGCTGTCATAATCTGGGAGGCGGTAAACCAGAACACTTTTCCTTTGTCTTCTTTTAAAGGACAATCAAGTAGCAGTTTGGTTATTGTGATGCCAGCAACAATTTCCTGTAACAAAATAATAATAACCCATTTACACAAATTTGGTTAATAATTATTAGAGGTGAACAGATTATCAAAACTGTGATCTGCCATCAATTCATGAGGTCACATTTCTCCAATTTTCATTTTCAATACACAAGCTCAGTGCTGAGATGTATGGGGGCTTCACAGGCATTTCTGACACCCACAGAATACCTTCCCCCTCCTTAATAGCTGGTTACCCACAGGGAGAGAAATTTGAGCAAAGGAAATTAACATCTGAGCTAGTGGCATCCAATGCTGTATCCAAAGTCTGAAAGCACAAATCCTAACATTAGTAAACATCTTAACATTTATTAACATTCCCCACAAAAAACACATGGTTCCTTTGCTTCATAGCTTAGAGCAGCATTTTATTTACCTTTTCAACACAAAGGAACCCTTGAGATAGCTTTCCAGTCTCAGGGAACCCCTGCTAAAAATACTATATCAACAATTTATGATACATTAGTGTGATGGTTGCTGTAAAGAAAGCTCCTTTCAATTGTGGCCATTGGGAAGAATTCCCCCCTTAAAGATAGCTAAAAATATCAATGGTGTCAGTGGGATCTGAGAGGCAGAAATTGCTAATTGCTCAAGGAACCCCAAGTAACTTTTGGAGGAACCCTTGTTAAGAAACCCTGGCTAAGAGTGACTCTTGCCAATCCTCTTGCTATGAGCTTGAATTGTACCACTTGTAATCCTTCTGGTTCTCCTACTCTTGTGATAACTACGTGGCAATCCAGAGAGCAGTTATGAAGACTTTATCTAAAAAATTACTTTAACTTCAGGATTTCAATCCGCAGCTTGTATTCAGTCTGTCTGGAAACACAATCCCTCTTTTCCCGACTGACTAGAATTATTGTATTTTTTCTTTTGGCTGATCTCTTAAAGTATTGTGACAGCAGCAACAGAAAGCATTTGACTGAGGTTAATGCCAATATAGGAGGTTCAACTAGTTACTAAATAAGAGATCTGCTTAGTATTGACCACAATCAAGGCACACATGCCCCAACCCTACTTCAGGTACGAACTCCCTGATGGCCCGTCTCTAGTCACAGGCACAGCTTTAACAAAAATGACACAAAGGGGTTTATTTACTAAAGCTGGAGAGTCCAAAATCAGACTCCCTTCTGCATAGAAACCAATCAGCTTCTAACCTCAGCTTGTTCAATGAAGCTTTGGCAATGAAACCTGGAAGCTGATTGGTTTCTATGCAGAAGGGAGTCTGATTTTGGACTCTCCAGCTTTAGTAAATAAACCCCAAAGTGACCATTCCACAATCATTTTCTTATTCACAGCACAGTCCAGACCAGCTGGAGCAAACCCTAAAGCCTAGTACACAAAGGCCGAATGTTGGGTGGCACTGGCTGGTTCAATAGAAAAATAGACAATTCGGCCCATGTGTATGGCAGCCGGTCCGACAGAAGCCAGCTGTTCTGCCAGCTACTGTCGAAGGGGCATGACCGAAAAAACGTCTGCCGATCGGCTCCTGATCAGTGTTCTCAGCCAAGGGCCATCCCCCTGTCAGAACAAAACAGAACAGGACAACATAGATGAGTTCTTGCTAGAAAAAAAATATTTTAAGCAACAGACAGCATGGATTCATGAAAGACAGAAGTTGTCAAACAAATTTGATTTCTTTTTATGAGGAGGTGCGCAAAACCTTAGACAGAGGGGGGTGACTGTGGACGTGGTTTACCTGGATTTTGCAAAAGCGTTTGACACAGTTCCCCACACACTGTGTACATAATGTGTAAGGTAAAGTCTACAGGCTTGGAAAAATTAGTATGTAAATGGATAGAAAACCAGCTAAAAGATCGTATTCAGAGAGTAGTGGTTATTGATGCATACTCTGAATGGTCTAGGGTTGTTAGTGGTGTACCCCAAGGGTCAGTGTTGGGACCCTTACTTTTTAATATAATTTATAAACGATATAGGGTCTGGGATTAAAAATACCATTTCAGTCTTTGCAGATGACACTAAGCTTTGCAGTGGAATAACATCCTTACAGGATGTCTCCAACTTACAAGCCAACCTGCACTGTTTAATTGGGCAACTATGTGGCAAATGAGGTTTAATGTTGATAAAAGTAAGGTTATGCACTTGGGGGCTAAGAATATGCATGCATCATACATACTAGGGGGAGTACAACTGGGGGAATCAATAGAGGAGAAGGATCTGGGAGTTCTGGTAGATAATGAGCTTATTAATAGCGTGCAATGCCAAGCTATGGGCAATGTATAGATAACAGGGATACGGCAAGCATCAGGGACTAAATATCTAGATTCCTTATCATTTAAAACTTTCTTCTTCACTCTTTTTTTCACTAAACAATAAGGAATCTAGATATTTGGTCCCCATACTTGCCGTATCCCTGTTACCTGTACATTGTCCAAGATCCAAAAAGATAGCCTTAATCCACCAGGTCGTCCCATTGTTAATGGGATTCAGTCCGTAGGAGCAAGATTAGATCAATTTATTGACCATTTTTTACAGCCGTTAGTACAAAAAACCAGATCTCAGATCTTACCTTAGAGACCCGAAGCACCTTATACTTGATGATTTACATTTTGAATCCCAATCCATCATTTTAGCCACTGCAGATGTATCCTCATTATACACCATAATTGCGATGCAATCAAAGCCGCAAGTTGTGCTATGAGAGAGCTTGGGAGTTTACAATGGACGCAGAGGAAATACTTGTTGGAATGTTTAGAATACTGACTCAAACGTAACTATTCTTGGCATAATCAAGAGCTTTTTCAACAAATAAAGGTAATTGTCATGGGAGCACGTTTTTCTCCCAGTTTGGAAAACTTATTTATGTCCCCATGGGAACAGGAAACTTTGAACAGCAACCCTCCAGAGGAATTAAAACTTTATAAGCGTTATATTGATGATGTTATTATTACTTGGGAGGGAGGGAAAGCCGATCTAATGAGGTTTTTGAATGATCTTAATCCGAACACTAAGAACATTCGTCTTTCAAGGGAATGTGATGATATAAGAATTAATTTCCTGGATCTGGAGATCATGTTGAAAGATGGTGGTTTAGTTACCAAAAAACATTTTTCAAGACGGTAGATAGGAACGGTTATATTCCGTTCGATAGTTGTCACCATTTACGTTGTTATTGAATATTCCAAAGGGGCAAATTATACATCTACGAAGGAATTGCACCCATAAAGAAGATTTTCATGACCAAGCTAAATCTATAGGGGAGCGCTTCATTAGTAAAGGTTATCAACTAAGTTCCATTGAAAGGGCGATACAAGGAGTAAATTGGATCGTAAAGGGCTTATCGAAGACAAGAAGAAGGATGATGTGTTATGGGACCAAATACCAATTATTTTAGACTATAATGTACACCATCGGAAGATGGAAAAGATTTTCAAAAAATATTGGCTGTTGCTTAGGGCTATTACAGGAGATCATACCAGTTCACACTAAGTTTGTGTACAGAGGAGCCCCCACCCTGAGGGTTAAACTGGCTAAGAATGTACTAAATACCCCAAGTTTAAGAAACAGGTGACCTTTCTTAATAGCAAAGGGTTTTTTTTCCGTGTAAACGATGTTATGCCTGTATGGCCACTAGGGGTCAGAATTTAAAACAAAGTGTTTTTGTGTCACATACCAATGGATTGGAATTTCCGATTAAGGATTTTATCATGTGCAGGAGTGGTGTATGCACTCCAATGTTCTTGTGGCCTGCAATACATAGGGACGACAAAAAGGCCTTTGTGGAAAACACATTCAGAATATTCTAAACATAGTGTATCCAGGCATATTACCACTCACCATGGGAAAGACCCCTCATCATTATTTTTTTGGGGGATTGTGAAATTGCAGCCACATTGGAGAGGGAGTAATAAGATTAGATCCCTCAGTCAGGCTGAATCACGGTGGATTTTTACGATGCAAACCCAGGTCCCATTTGGACATAATATTGAGTTTGACATTAACGGTTTCATTTGTGATTTTTAACGTTACTGACAGTTCCCCCCTTTCTCTTTCCCCTCCTCCCCCTTCTTTTGGTGGCTTATAGAGGTGTAATTGTTATCATCATAGTTTTATATATACATATATATTTTTTATATCTTTATACATTTTTATCTCTATTTCTCTTTCATGGCTACTGTTGGATTTGTAGTTCCTCATGGTCACTCCTCTCTCATTTCAATTTCTATGGTTTAGAACATATTCCATCGATTATGTGATAGATTCCCGGTCTCTCTCCTTTATTACAGATGTTTAGATATCTGTTCCCCTTTTTTTATTTTGTTTGTATCTATTTTATTTTTATATACATTTGTCTCTTTCTCTCCTTGTGAGGCAGTGATTTTGTCTATATATGTGCTTTTAGATAATCTATGCCTTGGTTTTATAATTCTTTTTTATGTTCTCAGAAATGTTTTTATTTATGGTTGTAGCCTGGGCTTCAAGGTAATGGCCACCGTTATTACAGTGTTGCTTCTTTTTTTTATATATTTAATGCTTGTGTCTCTATGGGAGAATGTTCCAGAGCTGTTATCTATATGGATGTCACTGGGACTTCTTTAAAATGGCCGCCGCGGTCTGCCCCTAAAGTGATTACTGCCTGTACTCTATATATGAAGTTTCCCATCACAACTCGTGGCGCAACTCGTAGGATTGTGACGTAATTTCCAGTGCAGACAGCAGCCACCATCTTGATACACCCATACAAGTACACCCTGTGTGCTCTCTGCAGGATTAATGCTTGTGGGTCTGCCGAACTTGTGCTTGTTTGTAAGTAGGTCTTTGGCTTTTTCTATTTTAATAAATTTTCAAGTTTACTACACTATGGGAGTCCTTCTTTTCTAACTTCTTTATGGGGACTGCTTGAGAGGTGTTTGGCTGACTACCTTCGTGAGGGGATACCACCACTATTGTTACGGTTCCTGGATTGCTGCCAAGGGTACAGATGTGATTAGGATCACTCTGCTGAGTGCTACATTGAAGTGTGT